CCCTCTCTGTGGAAGTTGTGCTCTGTTCTGTAGAGTCCATATGGGGCTGAGTCATTGATTTAGGACATTTAAAAACCAAACAGGGAAATCACCCTTAAAACCTTTGTTCAGTAATTAGGACCCGAAGGTAGATATTTTGCTTTTTAAGTGTTAACACCATCACATTCTTTTAAAAATCCCCTCCAAAAATCAGTTTATTCATTTCACGTGTTTTATTATTGAAATTCTGAGATAGGAATGTTTTGTTGCATGCATCTGATACCATTATTCACGATGTTACTATTGAATGCTCACTCGACTTTTGCCACCACTCAAGCAATGATTACTTTCCTGAGGTACACTCCCCGCACTGAGCCCACAAGGTAGTGTTTTTCTAAGCGAAGAAGCGCGCAGATGGACAGCCCTCAACATTGTAGCCTTTTATTCGCCTGCAGAGCAAGCCTGCCTTCCTGCCAGTCCCCCCAGCTGTTATCCTGAAGAGACCTTTTTCTGAAGGATGCACCAGGAGGCTGTTTCTGGGCCTTTCCTTTGGCGGCCCATCTGAGGAAATTATTTAACTGAGTGCCAACTTTATTTGAGTGCGCCTTTGAGGAGAGGCCAAGGAGAGGGCACATGGTGTAGGGAAATGGCAGCGCTCCGGTGAAGTCTCTCTTTCTTTTCACTGCCTGCCCTGTAGTCCATTACTGTGGAAGTAGCCACACGGAGTGGAATATCGTTTTCAGCACTGCCCGCTCTGAGAAACGTGAAGGGCCTGCGGGGCACGGCTGGTCTGCGCTGCCAAGAGGACTTGGATGGTCTGTAGCACCAACACAAGCCAGGGCCTCCGGCTTTGGGGAGCACTTCCACGTGAACGTGAGACCGTGTTTGGAGGACAGCTCCTTTGTTAGCAGTGGGTGCCAAGAATGCTTTTGCTTGGGCCTGGTTACCTTAAAAAGGAATCTCGGCGAATAAAATGATAACGAGCTGTTTTCTTTTCTCAGAGACGTGCTCTTATATTGCAGTTTTTAATTTATCAGTCAATTGGGAACCCAGTGGGATTAACTCATTTTTAAAGCTCAAGTAAACAGCACGAAAAGCGAGTTGAGTCCACCTGATCATTGGAAAGGAATGTCACAATAATTAATATTAGTATAGATCTTTATAGTTCCAAGCACATCTATCTTGGGAAAAGCCAGTGCATATATTTGTGGTTCGGGGTTCCAAGAAAGTATTTTCCTAGTCTCAGTGATGCATTTAATGTAGATTTCCTCCTGATAGTGTTACCACCCGCATTTAAATAATAAAGCTAGGTGGCAAGTGATTTGCCTTCCACCACTAATCTCAAAGTTGAATACCTGAACCCATGTTGGTAAATATTACAGTCAAGAACACCCCACGGAGCTGT